CTGTGCCAACACTCTACCTCTCGCCCCTCCCCTGACCCTAGCCCTCCTCACCTGCCCTGTTGTTCCCGTGAAGTTGATGCATCCTCGCGGCACGCCTTTAAAGCACGCCAGCACAAGCCACCCACACCACGCAGCCCCCAGTCCTGCTCACTCTGTGCCAACACTCTACCTCTCGCCCCTCCCCTGACCCTTGCCCTCCTCACCTGCCCCATTGTTCCCGTGAAGTTGATGCATCCCCGCGGCACGCCTTTAAAGCACGCCAGCACAAGCCACCCACACCACGCAGCCCCCAGTGCTGCTCACTCTGTGCCAACACTCTACCTCTCGCCCCTCCCCTGACCCTTGCCCTCCTCACCTGGCCCGTTGTTCCCGTGAAGTTGATGCATCCCCGCGGCACGCCTTTAAAGCACGCCAGCACAAGCCACCCACACCACGCAGCCCCCAGTGCTGCTCACTCTGTGCCAACACTCTACCTCTCGCCCCTCCCCTGACCCTTGCCCTCCTCACCTGCCCCGTTGTTCCCGTGAAGTTGATGCATCCCCGCGGCACGCCTTTAAAGCACGCCAGCACAAGCCACCCACACCACGCAGCCCCCAGTGCTGCTCACTCTGTGCCAACACTCTACCTCTCGCCCCTCCCCTGACCCTTGCCCTCCTCACCTGCCCTGTTGTTCCCGTGAAGTTGATGCATCCCCGCGGCACGCCTTTAAAGCACGCCAGCACAAGCCACCCACACCACGCAGCCCCCAGTGCTGCTCACTCTGTGCCAACACTCTACCTCTCGCCCCTCCCCTGACCCTTGCCCTCCTCACCTGCCCCGTTGTTCCCGTGAAGTTGATGCATCCCCGCGGACGCCTTTAAAGCACGCCAGCACAAGCCACCCACACCACGCAGCCCCCAGTGCTGCTCACTCTGTGCCAACACTCTACCTCTCGCCCCTCCCCTGACCCTTGCCCTCCTCACCTGCCCCGTTGTTCCCGTGAAGTTGATGCATCCCCGCGGCACGCCTTTAAAGCACGCCAGCACAAGCCACCCACACCACGCAGCCCCCAGTGCTGCTCACTCTGTGCCAACACTCTACCTCTCGCCCCTCCCCTGACCCTTGCCCTCCTCACCTGCCCCATTGTTCCCGTGAAGTTGATGCATCCCCGCGGCACGCCTTTAAAGCACGCCAGCACAAGCCACCCACACCACGCAGCCCCCAGTGCTGCTCACTCTGTGCCAACACTCTACCTCTCGCCCCTCCCCTGACCCTTGCCCTCCTCACCTGCCCCGTTGTTCCCGTGAAGTTGATGCATCCCCGCGGCACGCCTTTAAAGCACGCCAGCACAAGCCACCCACACCACGCAGCCCCCAGTGCTGCTCACTCTGTGCCAACACTCTACCTCTCGCCCCTCCCCTGACCCTTGCCCTCCTCACCTGCCCCGTTGTTCCCGTGAAGTTGATGCATCCCCGCGGCACGCCTTTAAAGCACGCCAGCACAAGCCACCCACACCACGCAGCCCCCAGTGCTGCTCACTCTGTGCCAACACTCTACCTCTCGCCCCTCCCCTGACCCTTGCCCTCCTCACCTGCCCCGTTGTTCCCGTGAAGTTGATGCATCCCCGCGGCACGCCTTTAAAGCACGCCAGCACAAGCCACCCACACCACGCAGCCCCCAGTGCTGCTCACTCTGTGCCAACACTCTACCTCTCGCCCCTCCCCTGACCCTTGCCCTCCTCACCTGCCCTGTTGTTCCCGTGAAGTTGATGCATCCCCGCGGCACGCCTTTAAAGCACGCCAGCACAAGCCACCCACACCACGCAGCCCCCAGTGCTGCTCACTCTGTGCCAACACTCTACCTCTCGCCCCTCCCCTGACCCTTGCCCTCCTCACCTGCCCCGTTGTTCCCGTGAAGTTGATGCATCCCCGCGGCACGCCTTTAAAGCACGCCAGCACAAGCCACCCACACCACGCAGCCCCCAGTGCTGCTCACTCTGTGCCAACACTCTACCTCTCGCCCCTCCCCTGACCCTTGCCCTCCTCACCTGCCCCGTTGTTCCCGTGAAGTTGATGCATCCCCGCGGCACGCCTTTAAAGCACGCCAGCACAAGCCACCCACACCACGCAGCCCCCAGTGCTGCTCACTCTGTGCCAACACTCTACCTCTCGCCCCTCCCCTGACCCTTGCCCTCCTCACCTGCCCCGTTGTTCCCGTGAAGTTGATGCATCCCCGCGGCACGCCTTTAAAGCACGCCAGCACAAGCCACCCACACCACGCAGCCCCCAGTGCTGCTCACTCTGTGCCAACACTCTACCTCTCGCCCCTCCCCTGACCCTTGCCCTCCTCACCTGGCCCGTTGTTCCCGTGAAGTTGATGCATCCCCGCGGCACGCCTTTAAAGCACGCCAGCACAAGCCACCCACACCACGCAGCCCCCAGTGCTGCTCACTCTGTGCCAACACTCTACCTCTCGCCCCTCCCCTGACCCTTGCCCTCCTCACCTGCCCCGTTGTTCCCGTGAAGTTGATGCATCCCCGCGGCACGCCTTTAAAGCACGCCAGCACAAGCCACCCACACCACGCAGCCCCCAGTGCTGCTCACTCTGTGCCAACACTCTACCTCTCGCCCCTCCCCTGACCCTTGCCCTCCTCACCTGCCCCGTTGTTCCCGTGAAGTTGATGCATCCCCGCGGCACGCCTTTAAAGCACGCCAGCACAAGCCACCCACACCACGCAGCCCCCAGTGCTGCTCACTCTGTGCCAACACTCTACCTCTCGCCCCTCCCCTGACCCTTGCCCTCCTCACCTGCCCCGTTGTTCCCGTGAAGTTGATGCATCCCCGCGGCACGCCTTTAAAGCACGCCAGCACAAGCCACCCACACCACGCAGCCCCCAGTGCTGCTCACTCTGTGCCAACACTCTACCTCTCGCCCCTCCCCTGACCCTTGCCCTCCTCACCTGCCCTGTTGTTCCCGTGAAGTTGATGCATCCCCGCGGCACGCCTTTAAAGCACGCCAGCACAAGCCACCCACACCACGCAGCCCCCAGTGCTGCTCACTCTGTGCCAACACTCTACCTCTCGCCCCTCCCCTGACCCTTGCCCTCCTCACCTGCCCCGTTGTTCCCGTGAAGTTGATGCATCCCCGCGGCACGCCTTTAAAGCACGCCAGCACAAGCCACCCACACCACGCAGCCCCCAGTGCTGCTCACTCTGTGCCAACACTCTACCTCTCGCCCCTCCCCTGACCCTTGCCCTCCTCACCTGCCCCGTTGTTCCCGTGAAGTTGATGCATCCCCGCGGCACGCCTTTAAAGCACGCCAGCACAAGCCACCCACACCACGCAGCCCCCAGTGCTGCTCACTCTGTGCCAACACTCTACCTCTCGCCCCTCCCCTGACCCTTGCCCTCCTCACCTGCCCCGTTGTTCCCGTGAAGTTGATGCATCCCCGCGGCACGCCTTTAAAGCACGCCAGCACAAGCCACCCACACCACGCAGCCCCCAGTGCTGCTCACTCTGTGCCAACACTCTACCTCTCGCCCCTCCCCTGACCCTTGCCCTCCTCACCTGGCCCGTTGTTCCCGTGAAGTTGATGCATCCCCGCGGCACGCCTTTAAAGCACGCCAGCACAAGCCACCCACACCACGCAGCCCCCAGTGCTGCTCACTCTGTGCCAACACTCTACCTCTCGCCCCTCCCCTGACCCTTGCCCTCCTCACCTGCCCCGTTGTTCCCGTGAAGTTGATGCATCCCCGCGGCACGCCTTTAAAGCACGCCAGCACAAGCCACCCACACCACGCAGCCCCCAGTGCTGCTCACTCTGTGCCAACACTCTACCTCTCGCCCCTCCCCTGACCCTTGCCCTCCTCACCTGCCCCGTTGTTCCCGTGAAGTTGATGCATCCCCGCGGCACGCCTTTAAAGCACGCCAGCACAAGCCACCCACACCACGCAGCCCCCAGTGCTGCTCACTCTGTGCCAACACTCTACCTCTCGCCCCTCCCCTGACCCTTGCCCTCCTCACCTGCCCCGTTGTTCCCGTGAAGTTGATGCATCCCCGCGGCACGCCTTTAAAGCACGCCAGCACAAGCCACCCACACCACGCAGCCCCCAGTGCTGCTCACTCTGTGCCAACACTCTACCTCTCGCCCCTCCCCTGACCCTTGCCCTCCTCACCTGCCCTGTTGTTCCCGTGAAGTTGATGCATCCCCGCGGCACGCCTTTAAAGCACGCCAGCACAAGCCACCCACACCACGCAGCCCCCAGTGCTGCTCACTCTGTGCCAACACTCTACCTCTCGCCCCTCCCCTGACCCTTGCCCTCCTCACCTGCCCCGTTGTTCCCGTGAAGTTGATGCATCCCCGCGGCACGCCTTTAAAGCACGCCAGCACAAGCCACCCACACCACGCAGCCCCCAGTGCTGCTCACTCTGTGCCAACACTCTACCTCTCGCCCCTCCCCTGACCCTTGCCCTCCTCACCTGCCCCGTTGTTCCCGTGAAGTTGATGCATCCCCGCGGCACGCCTTTAAAGCACGCCAGCACAAGCCACCCACACCACGCAGCCCCCAGTGCTGCTCACTCTGTGCCAACACTCTACCTCTCGCCCCTCCCCTGACCCTTGCCCTCCTCACCTGCCCCGTTGTTCCCGTGAAGTTGATGCATCCCCGCGGCACGCCTTTAAAGCACGCCAGCACAAGCCACCCACACCACGCAGCCCCCAGTGCTGCTCACTCTGTGCCAACACTCTACCTCTCGCCCCTCCCCTGACCCTTGCCCTCCTCACCTGCCCCGTTGTTCCCGTGAAGTTGATGCATCCCCGCGGCACGCCTTTAAAGCACGCCAGCACAAGCCACCCACACCACGCAGCCCCCAGTGCTGCTCACTCTGTGCCAACACTCTACCTCTCGCCCCTCCCCTGACCCTTGCCCTCCTCACCTGCCCCGTTGTTCCCGTGAAGTTGATGCATCCCCGCGGCACGCCTTTAAAGCACGCCAGCACAAGCCACCCACACCACGCAGCCCCTAGTGCTGCTCACTCTGTGCCAACACTCTACCTCTCGCCCCTCCCCTGACCCTTGCCCTCCTCACCTGCCCCGTTGTTCCCGTGAAGTTGATGCATCCCCGCGGCACGCCTTTGAAGCACGCCAGCACAAGCTCCGTAGTGGGTGCTGCATCTGCGAATTGGAGGCACACACACATGGAAACACACAGAACAATGTTGGGCTTTAAGACGCCTCAGAACGCCTTTGAAGCACGCCAGCACAAGCTCCTTAGTGGGAGCTGCATCTGCCAGTGGGAGACACACACACACATGGAAACACACATGGTGCAATATTGAAGTCACGTCTGAGAGTTCTCTAAGGCACGCCAGCACAAGCTCCTTAGTTGGTGCTGCATCTGCAAGTTGGACACACACACGTGGAAACACCCAGAACAATGCTGGGCTTTAAGACGCCTCAAAACACCTTTAAAGCACGCCAGCACAAGCTCCTTCGTGGGTGCTGCATCTGCCAGTTGGAGACACACACGTGGAAACAACATTGGAGACACTTTTGAGAACTCTCAGAAGCGATACGACTTTTGAGTCGACTCAAAAGTCGGCTAGCGATACAAGCAAAGAAGGGGTGAACGGTATCGAACAGGTACGGCACGTATTGGCGGGTGGTGTTCAAGCGGGGGAGAGTGAGGTGGGGGAAGGTGGGGCAGGGAGAGAGGGACCCAAGTCATCCCCACACCCCACCCACCGAGACACTCACTCTGGTTGGCGATAATGCTGCTGAAGGCCTCGAAAAAAGAGTGAATGGCATCAAACAGGTACGGCACGTATTGGCGGGTGGAATTGAAGCGGGGGAGTGAGGTGGGAGGAAGGGGAGAAAGTCCCTAGTCATCCCCTCATCGGATGGTGGTATCCCCACACCCCACCCACCGAGACACTCACTCTGGTTGGCGATAATGCTGCTGAAGGCCTCGAAAAAAGAGTGAACGGCATCAAACAGGTACGGCACGTATTGGCGGGTGGAATTGAAGCGGGGGAGTGAGGTGGGAGGAAGGGGAGAAAGTCCCTAGTCATCCCCTCATCGGATGGTGGTATCCCCACACCCCACCCACCGAGACACTCACTCTGGTTGGCGATAATGCTACTGAAGGCCTCGAAAAAAGAGTGAACGGCATCAAACAGGTATGGCACGTATTGGCGGGTGGTGTTGAAGCGGGGGAGGGAGGGCCCGACGTCGAGAGTGAGCAAGCCAGGGTAGATGTCATGGCGCTTGGTCCGCCAGTGCATTATGTATTCCCATATGGGGGAGGAATTCGAGTAGTCTCCCTCTGGTAGGAGGAGTGGGTAATGGGGGGAGTACAGGGTGGGGGGAAGGGGGGGACAGGGGGGACTTGACGTTGAGAGTGAGGAGACCCGGGTAGATGTCATGGCGCTTGGTCCGCCAGTGCGTTATGTACTCCCATAGAGCGCATAGAGGGGAGGAGTCTGAATAGTCTCCCCCTGTACAATGGAGGTTGGGGGCAACAGGGGGGGGTCATATGAACGTGGAACAGGGTAGATGTCATGCCGCTTGGACTGCTAATGCATTATGTGTTCTCCTGGTAAAAACATGTACCATGCTGTTGGTACTTTTGAGACGTCTCAAAAGTCTGCTAATGCATTATGTGCTCTTTTGGTAAAGAAATATTCCACGCTGTTGGTAGCTTCACTTAGTGTAAGGAGTAATCCCCATAATACTGCTAGGTTTTGAAAGGTTCTGATTTTTTTTTCAGAATTCTCAAAAACCAGGTTTTGACAGGTTCTGACCTGCAGTAGTGTATTCTCAAGATACCTCAAAAGCACCATGTTGACGCCTATCTTTTGAGGCGCCTCAAAAGAAGCATCATGTTGACGCCATTCTGATCTTAATTCATAGTCCCCACTTACTGTAAGAATCTGCTTTTAAGTCGACTCAAAAGTCAAAAGTATTCTCAAGATACCTCAGAAGCACCAGGTTGACACTTTTGAGAATTCTCAAAAGTCGCACCAATACCTCAGAAGCACCAGGTTGACACGCCTTCGTTATATTCACTCCGCACTTACTGTGCCACGGTATCGAGGTGACTTTTGAGTCGACTCAAAAGTCATAAGTATTCTCAAGATACCTCAGAAGCGCCATGTTGACACACCTTCATTTTATTCACTCCGCACTTACTGTAAGGGGCGACCCCCATCTCCCCTTGCAGTGCTGACGCTAAGGCTGTCAGGTTCTGACCTGCAGTGGTGGTCAGGAGGTTGGGAAGCAAGCAGGAGAAGAGAGGAGAATGAGTTGCTTCTAACGAGTCGCTTCTAAGAGGCGCCTAAAAAACGATATGCATTGGTGGACGAGTGGTTGGGACACAAGCAGGAGAGTGAGGAGAATGGGTCGCTTCTACGAGTCACATTTGCGAACCGCCTTTCGGAATCGTCAGACTGCAATATAGCGAGGTTGGGATACAAGCAGGAGAAGTGCGGAGGATCAGCTGCTTCTACGAGTCACTTTAGAGACTCGTTTTTGAGAATCGCTTTTCGAGATTCTCAATATAGCGAGGTTGGGACACAAGCAGGAGAGGAGACGAGACGAGACGAGACGAGAATGGGCAGTACAACTCACCCAATATTTTTCCCTTTTCCTGACTGGCACTAGCCACCTTCCGTGGCTACCTCATTGCTCACCTTTTGAGGCGCCACACAAGCAGGAGAGGAGACGAGACGAGACGAGAATGGACAGTACAACTCACCCAATATTTTTCCCTTTTCTTGACTGGCCTTGGTTCCCGTATTGCTCACCTTCCCCCACGAGATCGAATGCCACTGCTCCATCCGTGCCGCAGTACCACCACGGATATTCCAACACCTAAGTGATCATGCCATGCCACTGCTCCCACCCAGTCCCCCCCTGCTCACCTTCCCCCACAAGATCGAATGCCACTGCTCCATCCATCCCAAAATACCACCAGGAATATTCCAGCACCTCAGCAATCATGCCATGCCACTGCTCCCTAGACCCCCCCTGCTCACCTTCTCTATTTTTTTCCAGTTCCCTCCTGCTCACCTTCCCCCACAAGATCGAATGCCACTGCTCCATCCGTGCCATAATACCACCACGGATATTCCAATTTCCACCACCTCAGCAGCCAGCCATGCTAGGCCCTACCCCACTAGACCCCTCAACTCACCTTCCCCATAGAGATGAGCGTCCGGCCCGGCCCGACCCGACCCGACCCGACTTGCCCGGGCCACACGGGCTCCCGGGTCGGGTTGGGTCGGGCCAGCCTCGGGCCAGGATGACCCGCCCCAGGCCTACACACTCGGTCAACTTGGACCCGGTCACGGGTCGGGTCAGGCCAACCTCTCGGGCCAGGGTGCTGAAGGTTCTGGCCCGACCCGGCCTACACACTCGGGTCAACTTGGACCCGGTCACGGGTCGGGTCGGGCCAGGCCAGGATGACCCGCCCAGGATGGCCCCTAAGAACAACTACAGAATGGTGCAATGTTAGTTGCTGGCGCGCCTATGGGCAACTGATGGCCGAAAACGAGGCGTGCAGCCTGTGAATTGAAGTATCGCTAGTAAAACGCGATGTTGTAAAAAAACGCCATTCCTGCATCGCAATTATCCGGAAACAGCAGGATACGATAGTAAACTAGCTATAAATGTCCATCAATGAGGTTTGAACGGGTGGTAACTAAGTAGTTTCTAATTAGGTGATTTGCTTGTTGCCGTTAGGCAAGATTGAGAGCGTGTGTAGGTTCTGATGTCGAGGGGATAAAAATCCTCTCTACAACAATTTGACCTAGGGTTTCGTCCCCAGTGTGTCGAAATCGGGTCGGGCTTTTCCTGACCCGAATTCTGGTCGGGTCAAGACTGACCCGAAACCCGACCCGACTCGGCCCGAGTTCCATGCTCGGGTCGGGTTTTAGCCCGAGTCGGGTCGGGTCGGCCCGCACGGGGCAGGCAAATGAAACCACTGACCCGACCCCCCCTGCCCACCTTCCCCAGACCCCCCCTGCCCACCTTCCCCCACAAGATCGAATGCCGCTGCTCCATCCGTGCCAAAATACCACCACGGGTATTCCAACCGACCCTGGTGGTTTTCCAGTATCCCCCTCCCCCAGTTTCCCCCTTCCCCGGATCCCCCGGCTTACCTTCCCCCACAGGATCGAATGCCACTGCTCCATCCGTGCCGAAGTACCACCAAGGGTATTCCAACCGACCCTGGTGTGGTTTCCGCAAGAGGGGGGAGGAAGAACGGGGAACCTGGTGAATGAGTGAGGGGCGTGAAAGGGCGTGGAGGGGCGTGGAGGGGCGTGGAGGGGCGTGGAGGCCTAGTTTTGATGCGCCTCAAAAACTATACGTGGTTTCCGCAAGAGGGGGGAGGAAGAACGGGGAACCTGGTGAATGAGTGAGGGGCGTGAAAGGGCGTGGAGGGGCGTGGAGGGGCGTGGAGGGTATTGGAGAGACCAGATTTGAAGGGGATATCACTCACCAGGTCTAGAGCCGCACACCAGATGCCCTTGGCTGCATTTGTTGAGACAGCGAGGACCACTATTCTCGAGTCATCGCCTTGGATGAGCGGCTTGGAGGGGTGTGAGGGGTTCAGTGCTTTATCACTCACCAGGTCTAGTGCAGCCCTCCAGATGCCCTCGGCTACATTTGTTGAGACAGCGAGGACCATTATTCTCGAGTCATCGCCTTGGATGAGCGGCTTGGAGGGGTGTGAGGGGTTCAGTGCTGTATCACTCACCAGGTCTAGTGCAGCCCTCCAGATGCCCTCGGCTGCATTTGTTGAGACAGCGAGGACCACTATTCTCGAGTCATCGCCTTGGATGAGCGGCTTGGAGGGGTGTGAGGGGTTCAGTGCTGTATCACTCACCAGGTCTAGTGCAGCCCTCCAGATGCCCTCGGCTGCATTTGTTGAGACAGCGAGGACCATTATTCTCGAGTCATCGCCTTGGATGAGCGGCTTGGAGGGGCTTGGAAAGGGGAGAGACCAAAGGGAACCTCAGGAATAGGACTCACCAGGTCTAGAGCCGCCCTCCAAATGCCTTGAGCTGCGTTGGGCGAGACGGCGAGGACCACAACCGTGGAGTCATTGGAATGAATGAGCGGCTCGGAGAAGCTTGGAGGGGGCAGTTTCTCAAGGGAATTCAGGTATACACTAGGCTCTACGGAGTTTTCATCAGCCACTGCTCCACTCACCAGATCTAGTGCCGCCCTCCAAATGCCTTGAGCTGCGTTGGGCGAGACGGCGAGGACCACAACCGTGGAGTCATCGGCTTGGAGGGGCTTGGATCGGAGAGGTTGAGGAGAGCAGATACTGAGGGGAATTCGTAAGGCGATCTTATCAGCACTGCTCTTCACTCACCAGGTCTAGAGCAGCGCGCCAGATGCCCTCAGCTGCGTTGGGTGAGACCGCTAGGACCACCACTGTGGAGTCATCCGCTTGGATGAGTGGCTTGGAGGGGCTTGGGTCGGAGACGTTGAGGAAGAGCGAGGAGTAGTTGAGGCAGGGCACTGGCACGGGTATGCTGTGCACTGTCAGATTGTCACTGCGAGCGAAATACTGGAGGGAGGGGATGGAGGGGGGGGAGGCCAGAGGGCGAAAAGGGTGGACTGAGGGGCATCGAGCATAGAGAAAAATTGTTGGAGCAGGGGACTGGGATGGGTATGCTGTGCACTGTGCGGTTGTCACAGCGAGCGGAATACTGAGGGAAAGGCAGAAAACAAAAAGGGGGGAAGTGTGGGGAGTTATGCTGGGGACACCAAGCGACAGAGAGAGGGGAGAGGTTGGAGCAGGGCACTGGGACGGGCATGCCGCGTACTGGAGGGAGTGGATGGACGGAAGGAGGGGAGGAGAGGGAGGAGAGGTCGAAGAAAAGAGAGGAGTAGCTGAGGCAGCGCAGCGAGCTCACCGTTCACCTCAATGTCATAACCTAGCGCTGAGACTTTTGAGAATTCTCAAAAGTCGTACCAATATGTCTGAGCCATACGTCTCCTCTGTGACGAAGAGGATGATTCGATCAAACACACCAGGACACGTGCATGCACGCATGCACGCAAGCACCAAACCACACATGCCATCAATTAAGTGCGCTGCGCCCCACTCACCTCGATATCATAGCCAAGCGCTGAGCCGTACGTATCCTCTGTGAAGAACAGGATGACTCGATCAAACACGAACTCCTGAAGCAGGGAGCGCATGGCTGCTGCCTGGTGCCTGTCGCCAAAGCTGTGGAGGGGAGAGGGGGAGGGGGGGTGTGCGGATGCAAGGAGGAGAGGCATTCTAAGAGTGCAGCAGAGAGAGGAGGGAGCGCATCGCTGCTGCCTGGTGCCTGTCGCCAAAGCTGTGGGGAAGGTGGTGACAGTGGGTATGGGGGCAAGGAGGCAAGAAGAGAACCGGATGACTCGGTCAAACTCAAACTCCCGTAGGAGGGAGCGCACGGCTGCTGCCTGGTGCCTGTCGCCAAAGCTGTGGGGCAGGATAAAGATGGTGGGAATGGTGGGGAATGGTGGGAGTGGCGAGGGGGTTTATGAGAAAGAAGGAGGCAAGGAGACGGGCATCTATCAGGTGAAGAACATGATAAAGATGGTGGGAATGGTGGGGGGATGGTGGGGGGATGGTGGGTATGCTCCCAGTGCTGCCGCTTGAATTTTCTCAACCCAGCTCAACCCAATCCAACAGAATCCTTATTTACCACACACTCACTTGACTCAGACAGTGCCGAAGAATGAGCCGAATCTCTCCCAGTCTTGAAACCCACCCCACGTGGTGCCTCATAAGTCAGCTCGACCCAACCCAACAGGATTCAACCTCCCTTGACCCTCACACACCCTCTCGACTCACACAGTGAGGAAGAATGAGCCGAACCTCTCCCGGTCTCGGAACCCATCCCACGTGGTGCCCTGTAAACCAGCACAACACCCCTCAAACCAGCCCAACCCAACCCAACCGATTCCTGACTCCCTTACACACACCCTCTCGACTCACACAGTGCGGAAGAATGAGCCGAACCTCTCCCGGTCTCTGAACCCATCCCACGTGGCAGCAAACGAGACGATCGGAACACCAGCAGGAACGAGCACGTCTGCTGCTCCCAGTGCTGCCTCTGTGCACGCTGGCCCTACTACGCCCACCACCCCGTCCCTTAGTAGGAGCTGCAGGGGGGACAGGCAGAGACAGGGACAGGCGTGGAGAGGGGTGGAGAGGGGTGGAGAGGGGCAAGGAGAGACGATGGGAACGCCAGCAGGCACAAGCACGTCTGCTGCTCCCAGTGCTGCTTCTGTGCACGCTGGCCCTACTACGCCCACCACCCCGTCCCTTAGTAGCAGCTGCAAGGGGGATGGGTAGAGCGAGACAGGCGGAGAGGGGCGGAGAGGGGTGGAGAGGGGTGGAGAATCGCAGTTGGAGTTAGCAATGTGCGGCACCACATCAAAGGCGTCCGAGTATTCGAAAGGGAAGAGAACCCACACAGCACACTTAGCGCCACCCCAGGCACGCATGTTCTCTCTCTCTCTCTCTCACAGTCCTCTGCACTCTCTGCGTCTCCCACATTGCCCCTCCCCTCACCTGCGCAGCCTCCTTGGCCTCCTGCCGGTCGCAGTTTGAGTTGGCAATGTGCGGCACCACGTCAAAGGCGTTCGAGTATTTCGGCCCTAGCACCTCCAGAGCCACTCGTGACGCTGCGATCCTGAAGGAGGGTGTTGAGGGGGGTAAGGAATGGGCAGTGAGAGAAGGAAAGGGTCACCAGTGGGTAGGGCAATGTGTGGCACCACATCAAAGGCGTTCGAGTATTTCGGACCCTAGCACCTCCAGAGCCACTCGTGACGCTGCGATCCTGAAGGAGGGAAAATGGCAGGGTCGATGGGGGAAGGAGAGGGCAGTGTTGATGAGGCAATGTGCGGCACCACATCAAAGGCGTTCGAGTATTTCGGCCCTAGCACCTCCAGAGCCACTCGTGATGCTGCGATCCTGAAGGAGGGGATGTTAGGAGTGGGAGGGAGAGAATGTGCTGGCAGGAGGTCGGGGAATGTGCGGCACTATGTCAAATGCGTCCAAGTATTCTGACCTAGCACCTCCAGAGCCACTCACGATCCTGCGATCCTGAAGGAGTGGGGAGAGTGCGAGTGAGATAGAAACGGAGTGGTCAGCGGTAGGAGGGGCAATGTGTGGCACCACATCAAATGCGTCTGGGTATTTGGGCACTAGCACACTAGCACCTCCAAAGCCACTCGTGATACTGCGATCCTGAAGGAGGGCGTTGAGAAGGTGTACAAGAGAGTGGGCGAGAGGGTGCAGGGAGGGAGGTGGGAGATTGAGGGGGCAAGGGGTTGAAAGGGCGAGAGGGAGAGAGGTTGCGAGCCCTTTCCTGGACAACCTTACGGTATGTTGAGTACTTGAATTCCATTCTGGTCATAATGCGACCTCAAGAGCGACTCTGGTGGCGCGTATCATCCGTCCGCGAGACGCACAGGAATGACGCAGTCTGCTGTCAGATACGACACATGAAATGAGCCATGTGGTAGATAAGCAGGTGCGTATCGACCGTGAACGAGGCGCGTACCATTCGTCAGCGAGGCGCACGGGAATGACGTTGTCGGCTTTAGGGTACGGCAGCAGGAACCCGAGCTTAACCACCTGCCGAACCGGGGCAGCAGCTTCGGCTTCCAGTCTCGGCGAGAGCGAGAAGAGAAAAGCGATGACGAGTAACAGAGGAAGCACGTGCGACCGTATCGAACTGCCCATGCGTGACTGCTGACAAATGTGACTATACGAGTGTGATGTTAGGGTCCTTCCTAGATGCCGTTGAGTATCAGCCATTGCAGGATTCAGAGGGCAGGGCAGGTATTCTGAAACGTCGTGAAGAGCAGGTCAGGTGGTAATCACTGGTAACAGGCGACAGGCGAATACGCAAAGGCTTTCGCACGACGCTGGCTTCTCAGTAGAGACAAGTATATTGGTATCTTCTCACTCCAAGTGACATGCCTGGCACCCTTCGTCTCGAATGACTATATCGGCTGGCTGTATCGGCTGACTTACGGGGGTCTCGTTACTCAGTAGAGACAAGACCCTGAAATGATCGCACTACGTTTTTCTTTCTCGGTGTCGCACCCCTCCAAGTCCTTCGTTTCGGCGCCCTTTCTGGCGTCTCGTCTATTACTTTCGGGACGGAACAATTGTCGCGTCGTTTACTTTTGAGACGGAACGATAGAGTCCTCTATTGTTTGCAACAGTATCTTCGTGTCAAACTATCGCTGCACTGTTCTGAGAGAAGTCAGGCAGGCAGAAGGAACGACAGGCGATTTAGGAGCTAGCAAAGTTAGGAGGAGGCTAGAAGAATCGGAGGCAAGCAGACATCGTATGCAACCTATACGTGTCGGGCTAGGAACGCGAACTGGAAACAAGCTCCTTAGAAGCATACTCTCTTTGAACCAACTTCAATGAGCAAGAGCCAGCTTTGTAAACTAGCTATCGTGCGACCTAAACTCGCTATGAATCTCCCCGCTTGACTCCATGGTTCTCTCATGAGAGTCCCGCGCCTTCGTCACCTGAGCGTCCAGTCCGGTTCAGTAGGTTTTCTCACGGTAAATAAGGCTTCTTGCTGCTTACCGTTCTCAAACGCACCAAACCATGATGCTGTACGTGATTATTGTAGGTATGCACCCTGAGCCTCGAGTTCTTCCCATTTTTCAAGATGTTGAATGTTCCCCGTCAGCATCGAAGACACTTGTCGCACAGACCTGATGTTTGCTTGGCGCAATGTCGAATCGCGATAGCGACAGACAGGCGTCGCATCCACTAATAAGCGTCGTTCTGTGTAAGGCTGTCGGTAACGAAGCTTGACGCGGTGATTGCGACGGGCCACTATTGGCTGGAATTGTCACTGCAGTCAGTTCGGGAAGAGCGCAGCGAAGGTGCAAGAACCTGGTTGTTGTGGAGTGTCGTTGTCAATTCGGGCTGTTTCGGGGGTAGTTATGGTCTATGTTTCCATGCTGTATGTGCTGTACATAAAACCAAGATAAAAAAATACTTTTAGCAAACCTACAACCGAATATTCTATTGTAGTTATGCCCTTTTGGGCACGTAATAAACCAATCCGAGCTTATCATCAGCAACCATTAGGCTTTAGCAGAGAACAGAAAAAATGCACATACGCTTCCATATCTTATTATTTATAAACAATAGGATCAATTGGAAGAGTCCTGGATTTTCTAATCTGTCCACCCCATCCCCTGCTCTCCCTCTCCAGTCCCAACCACAAACCATCCTCACAATGTTGCTGCGCCTTCCCAGTTCTACTATATCGGCCCATACGGTCTTCTTCTTCCCTTGAGAAACTCTGCTGGTCATCCATATAATGGTCCTGGTCGCTGCTGCCCCAAGGACCACCCGCCTCCAAACCATACTCCACCGCAGAGTATCTACTAGCAGACCGCGCGGTCATGCTCCGACTTTTAATAGGAAGACCAAACTCCAACTCGTCGTCCTCATCCTCCGTATAAGCATCATGGCAGCAATTCTGAAAGCCAGGAAATTCCGCCGTTCTGCGTGCGTCTCCATGGCTAGCCTCTCGCCTCTGCTCCAGGCCCCTTGCTCCTGTCACCTCCTCCTTCCCCCTCCACCCCTCCACCCCCGTTCCTCCAAAACCCTGAACCAGCCCCTCACTCTCCTCCAAATATCTCGCATCCTCCTCCTCACCTTCCTCATACTCCTCACCCACATCCTTATACTCATACTCTCGTCGAAACTCAGCACTCGGTCTTCGCCGTATCGCAGCGCTGTGCATTGCAAATACCGCATCTAGATTGATATCGGCGTCGGCAGCTGCAGCAGCAGCTGCTGCTGCAGCCGATCCTACTGGGGCAGAAGGAACCAATCCCCTGCTGCTGCTGCTGCTGCTGCTGCGGCTGATGCTAACCGGATCGACGCTCCTGGTGTTACTGCCGCTGTTACTGCTGCTGTTATTAATGCTGATGCTCCCGCTGCTGCTGGCAACACTGAAGCTGCCACTGCTGCCACCAATGCCGATACTGCCGCTGCTGCTTTTGCCGACGCCAATGCTTCCGCTGCTGCTGCCACTGGTGGTACTGCTTCTGACCCAAGAGCAGCTGCGGCTGCCCTGGCTGTCAGTCAGCAAGCCTCTCTCTGCCACTCCTGCCAACTTCTCTCTCCGCCCTATTGTGAAGCTGCGACTCCCACCCACACCTCCCCACTCCTTTGCAGACCCCTCCACACCTCCCCACTCCCGCACAGACCCCTCCACACCTCCCCATCCCCTCTTTTGCATCTCCTCAGCAATTCTCTCCCTCCTTTCCTCCTCTCTCCTCTCCGCTTCCCAAAGCAGGTCACTCGACCTATCTCGCAGAGCCGATGGTGTGTCAAGCCCTCCCTCTCCCCCTCCTCCTTCCCCCTTTCTACCCCTTCCAAATCCGTACCTTCTAGTCCTCTCACACACACCCCCTTCACTCATGTTCCCAACCTCACTCGCCCTATCCCCCTCCCTTCTAACCTTCCCACCACTCCTCCTAGGCCCCTCACCCACTTCCCTTCCCACTCCACCCTCGGAATCCACCTTACAAGCAGGACTATTTCTATCAACAAACGCATGGCTGCTGCTCGGCCTTGTCCGTTCTGCAGGCAAAAGACTCGCCAGCCGCCCAGTGCTACCTGCTCCGTGCTTCATTCTGCTGCCCGTGCTGCCGCCCAAAGAACCAGCACTGTTCAGGCCACTTGCAAACGAGCCCTGGCGTTGCAGGGGAACATAATAGTCAGAAGAAGACGACGGCGAGATAACTTTTTTTGTTTCCCCTCCACGGTGGTGTTGATTTCGAGAATCCTTTGAAATTCGGGTGCTGTCCAGGGACCTCCTCCCCTTCACCAAATTGCCAGCGCTCCTGTTCCTGTGCAATTGGCCGTCAGTATAATCACTCTGATTCTGTTCAAAATATTTCATATCACTGCAGCTTTTTTCACAGTAGCTTGAACTGTACTCGTTACTGCAGCCAGCACCAGACGCGTATACGCCAGCACCGTTTCCCCCCGCACCACCACAAGAACGCGCAGATTTTCCCGCTGCGCACCCTACTAGCGGCAACGTCTGCGCGGAACCTTGTGCGGATCCTTGCACCGCGGACGACGTCAGCGCCGTTCGCGGGTTGCTGCGCGACCGCCGCAGCGCGTTTAGGATCCCCATCGCTTCTTCGTCCGAGTCCACGTCGGACGGAATCGCCGCCGCCGCGTCCGCCGCGGCCTGCGCCGCGATTGCCGCCGCGATTCCGGACGGGCGGCGAGGAGATGCAGGTGCCACGTCACGCTGACGTGGAGATGACGGGAGGTGACAAGGAGATGCAGGGAGGTGGCGTGGGGACGAGGGACAGTGACGTGGAGAAGCGGGTAAATCACGAGGCGAGACGGGGGCGTGCTGATCTGGCGAAATCGGGAAGCAACGTGGCGAAGACGGTCTGTGACGTGGCGAGGATAGGGGTTGCTGACGCGGCGAAAGCGGATCGTGACGTGGCGATGTAGGACAATAGCGAGGGGAGGTAGGAGCAAACGCCGCGGTTCGAGAGGCCGCGGTTCGAGAAGTACGACATGCGAGCGCGGAGGGCCGCGGGAAGGCGGGGAACGATGGGGAGGGGGAAGCGGAAGAAGGGGAAGGGCCGGCGGAAGAGGAGGAAGAGGGGGAGACGAGAGCGAGCGTGGGGCGGGCAGAGGGCGCGGAAAGAGAGGGTGGAAATGCAGGGTACGGAGAAACGGCGGAAAGGGAAGCGGCAGACGGGGAAGCGGCAGATGGGGAACCGGCGGAAGGGGAAGCGGGAAAAGGCGGGGCAAGCGCGGAAGTATCGGCTGCGCGCTGCAGATCCGAGGAGCTGCGCGATCGTCCGCTAATGGATGCGGTAGTCCCGCGAATCGTGCGTGACGAGAAACGCGCTGCGGGGTGAGTTTGCGCCATTCCGGAGTTTATCTGCGCCGCTGCGCCGGTTACCGCATCGGCCGGCACGGGATGGGCGCTATCCGCGGCGCGTCTTCCGGATCTTAAGGCGCCTCGACTTCCCGGAATTGACCCCTGCTTTTGAAGATCCCGCCGCTGCTGCTGCTGATGCTGTTGCGTCTCCGTCTGCTGCAGCTGCCGTCTCGGCGTGGGAGGCATCCAATCGTCCGCATCGTCGATCCAACGGTCAGAATTACTCCACGTACCGCCACGCGAAGCCGCGTTATCGTCACAAGCATCGTTGCGATCAAACCCCACGCCTCTCTGCGCGGAACCTTTCGCAAAACCTTCCGCGGGCCGTTCCTCGAAATCTTCCGCAGACCCTTCCCCGCGGCTACGCGCGGGGGTGTGCGGGGATTCCTCTACCGCGTAGCAGTGAAACCCGCCCGCCTGAACGGGAGTTGCGACACCCGCCTTCGCCTGCGCCAAGCGGGAGTTGCGCTTACCGCTTCCGCCGATCGCGCGGACGTTCTTCTCGTCGTTGTGGCTAAAAGCCTTCCGCAGCGCCCTCCGCGCGCCCGCAGGAGACGGCGGCGGAAGCGGCACGGTGTGAGAATGCGGTATGACGAAGCGCTGCGACAACTGCGACAGCGACGGCGATCTGGACACAGTCGCATCAGTCGCAGAGGGGCTTGCTACCGCCGTCGACAAGTGTCGTCCTGCGACGCCGTGCGAGCCGCCATTGTGGTCGCGCACTCCTTGTTCGCGAAAGTCGTCGCGAGTGTCCGAGTCGCGTTCGCAAAACATGTCCAGAAATTCCTCATCCGACGAGTAAACCTCCGCCACGTCATCCAGTCGAAGCGCGGTCACCTTAGCCACCACCGCTTCCCCCGCCGACTCGCCGGATCGGTGTGCGCGCACAGGCGGAGGCATTCCGCGGGGCTCCGTGGGCCCTCCGCGGGATCCCCGCGAAGCGCTTCCCCGGGCCCTTGGCGACGGTGCGACGATTTCCCGAGGCGTTTCGCTCGGCGTGCTTTGCGGACTCGCAAGCCCGAACGGGTCGGCAGGTTTAGCGGGGGAGCAGGGGAAGGCGGAAGCGGCGGGGGAGCGCACGGCGCGGGAAAGAGTCGGGGGTGCGGAACACGGGGAGCTCGTCGGGGACCAGGGAACGGCGGAGCGGGGGGAGGCAGCGCACCGCCCCGCGGGGGAAAACCGCGCAGATGCAGGCGCGGAGGACGACGAGACGCGGCTTCCGCTGCTGCTGGTGCTCCCGCTGCCGTCCCCGCCGCCATTGACGTTTCCGCGGCCGCTGGCGCTCCCGCTGGTGCTCCCGCTGCCGTTGATTGCGCTGCCGGGAGGAGCGGGGAGCTGGAGTCGCGGCGGTCTAGCTCGACGCTGGGCTAGTGGCGTCGGGGAGCGCGAGGAGGAAGGTTCGTTTGCGCGTGAGGGAGTTTCGGATGGGCGAGAGGATGAATCAGACGCGCGTGATTGGCCATGGCTACTGTCGGCACCGTTACTAGAAACTCTATCTCTGTTACTGCTATCGTGCCCGCTAGGCTGCCGCGAATCGTCAGCAGCGTGCCCGCGCAAACCCTCCGCGTGTCCGCGCACTTCCGTTCCGCACGAGAATAGGTGGCCGTGAGCGCCTGTGTGTTCTCGCGGAGAGAGCGCTTGGGGAAACGAAGGCGCATCCTCGCTAAGGAGTGAGTGAGAGCTACTGCTACTAACGATAGATGTAGGTTCGTTCGTGACTATAACAGGCGGCCTTGTCGCGCACGCGACCTCTGATCGAGGCATGTCCTTAAAGTGGTATCGCGACTGTACAACGCCTTTGTGGACGGGATGCAAACAAAGTAAGCGCGCTCCCTTTCTGTCCTGAATGCTCCAACCCTAGCGTATTCCTATTCCTTCTTCAGCTTCCTTATGACGTTACAGAGGGAAATAAAACTGAGGGCTTGGGTCTACAGACGACTAAGAGTTTGAGATGGGAGACTAGGGCGAGGGTAGGTAGAGTGGATAAAAACTGAGAGGGTGGGACGGAGTGGGAGGGGAGGGAGGCGCAAGTGAGGGACGACATAGAGAGGATGAGAGTAACGGTGGAAAGCGGTTCAGAGAGTTGAATTAGGTTCAACGAAGGTTGTAGAGGGCTGAAGTCGAGCCGAAGTCGGGACAACGCAGGAGGGAGGGAAGACATGCTGCTGCCCTTGAAACATCACATGCGCGCAACGCAAGCAGACAGGCCAGATTGATTGGAGAAGCAGCCAACCTATCCGCGGGCGGAGAGGAAACAAGAGCCGCGAGTGGCATGTGTGAACTGAGCACTGCCGACGCGAGAAGCAAGGAATTGAGAGTAGGACCAGATATGCAAAACCAGAAAGGCTGGGTGTGGTTTCATCTGGTAAATATTATTATTTGTACGGTCTCTTGCGGTGCTTGTTCTAGAAATCTGGTACAGTAATCATGCGACCTCACTCTTGGCGGCGCGTGCGAATAATGTTGCATTTGCGCGTGGAATGCAGGGTGGGATGGAGAAATTAAAACAATGGTTGCTACTGGCATCCGATAGTCCAACAGATACACCTAGTCCGCGGTATTTTAGCCGCCGCTATCTTAACCGCGCGAGGGTACTTCTCCTTGGTCAAACTTTTTTATACGAGTAGTTTGTAAATTTATCGAGGGTAGAATCTAGCATACCCTTTGTGAGGCGACGGAAGTCAAAACCTGGTCAATGCCGATCCGCCCTCTACTTCGGAGCACTAAGTGTGAGTTTCTTTAGAAGGAAATGCTTCTGGCTGCGAAACAATAGCCTTAAAGTCTCTGGCTGCCCATCTCATTACCCAAAAATGAACAAAGGGTTTTTGAAGCAAAACAGTTCACGTGGTTAAAATACCGCGGGCTAGGTGTACATTGCTGCATTGCTTCCTACTCCGTGTGAAGTGAACCGAGAAAGTTCCCCATATTGTTGTCTACATTTTGACTCCACAGATTGCCACTGCTTCGTGAAACTTATTTCACTCCATGTTGGTACTGTACACGTATCCTATCCTAGGAGCTATGGAACACGACAAGGTCCTGATTTACGATGTCCCTGCCGTACACGCCACAATGCGACTCGGCACGTAGCATTGCGGGCGGTGTCGAGACAACCAGATCAGCAATGTCATGTTGTTTCTCTGATGCCCAATCTTCCTTTGGCTATGCCCAGAAACAACAAACTCATGCCCAATTGGGACCAGTGTCTTTCAAGGTTCTATTTATTATCGGGGCGAGCCGCTTCCATCCCAGAATTAGTCGCAACAGGCGCTTCTAGTGACCCACACGGGCAGCTTCTTCTTGGTGATAATTTACATGCATAACAGAGTCTGTACTGTGGCGAACATTTGTCGGCCTTGTGTCAGGGTCGGTCGGGAACTGAACCATTCCGAAACAGCGGCCCACTGCACCAAGTGGCCATTTGAAGCAGCAATCAGATCTCATCATCATTCTTCTCGGGTCGGACAACATTTAAAGCCCGAGTTCTACATGGCAATTTTCAAGTTCAAGATTCCTGAATATGAATTCGCAAAAAACCATGTTACCACCCGAAATGGAGGATATCCGTCGCGATCCAGAGGGGAGGTTTTGCGACGTTGTTCCATGATTGGCCAGCGACAAAACCAGTCATTCCGAGTAAAGGGTCGGAGGGCAATGGAGCACTGTTCACTTTCAGTAAACTTGAAAACCATGTTGTACTAAATGGCAGGCATATTGACAGCCTACGTTTACTTAGTTCACCCGTTTTTCACGCCCAAACTTTCTCCGTATCACTCCTTTTCTCCGTAGCAGCTGTATCAGTACAGCAGCCTATTTGGTGACAAATACGAACAGCCAATCATAAAACCAGTCGGAGATGTCCCATTTATACAATAACTAGAGAGCTCACATGCGTGTGCGGTGCGCACCCAACCGGATATAGTTACTCGCGCGACGCCAACACGTGCCTGCACGTCACAATTCCATCCACCCCCCCGGCGTCTAACCCGGGTTGCGCATCTAGACGGTCGCACGGTCGAGGGTCAAGTATATCCCTTCCGACTGTTGCTCTCCCTTCCGCCGTCGCTCTCCCTTCCGCCGCCCTTCTTTCCCCTCGTCGCCCTGCCTTCCGTCCGTCGCCCACCCTTGTTCCCGTCGCCCTCCCTTCCCGTCGCCCTCCCTTCCCGTCGCCCTCCCTTCCCGTCGCCCTCCCTTCCCGTCGCCCTCCCTTCCCGTCGCCCTCCCTTCCCGTCGCCCTCCCTTCCCGTCGCCCGCGCTTCTTCCCGTCGCCCTCCCTTCCCGTCGCCTTCCCTTCCCGTCGCCCGCGCTTCTTCCCGTCGCCCTCCCTTCCCGTCGCCCTCCCTTCCCGTCGCCCTCCCTTCCCGTCGCCCTCCCTTCCCGTCGCCCTCCCTTCCCGTCGCCCTCCCTTCCCGTCGCCCTCCCTTCCCGTCGCCCTCCCTTCCCGTCGCCCTCGCTTTCCCCGTCGCCCTGCCATCCACTCCCCGTCGCCCTCGCCTTCCCTCCCGTCTCCCTTCCCATCTCGCACACTTGTCACCCTCCCTTTTCTCTCCCTACTCCCTCTTTTCCCTCCCTCTAATAATCGCCTTCCTTCCCCCAACTTATACCCTTCCCTGCTTCCCCCCATCCCCTGCCCTGCTTCCCCCCATCCTCTTCATTCTTTCCCCGTATCCCCAGCCCTGCTTCCCCCCATCCCCTTCCCTGCTTCCCCCCATCTCCTTCCCTTCTTCCCCCCATCTCCGTCCCTGCTTCCCCCCATCCCCCTCCCTGCTTCCCCCCATACCCCTTCCCTGCTTCCCCCCATCCCCTTCCCTGCTTCCCCCCATCCCCTTCCCTGCTTCCCCCCATCCCCTTCCCTGCTTCCCCCCATCCCCTTCCCTGCTTCCCCCCATCCCCTTCCCTGCTTCCCCCCATCCCCTTCCCTGCTCCCCCCCATCTCCATCCCTGCTTCCCCCCATACCCCTCCCTGCTTCCCCCCATCCCCCTCTCTGCTTCCCCCCATCCCCTTCCCTGCTTCCCCATGTCCCCTTCCCTGCTTTCCTCCATCCCCTTCCCTGCTCCCCCCCATCTCCATCCCTGCTTCCCCCCATACCCCTCCCTGCTTCCCCCCATCCCCCTCTCTGCTTCCCCCCATCCCCTTCCCTGCTTCCCCATGTCCCCTTCCCTGCTTCCCCCCATCCCCTTCCCTGCTTCCCCCCATCCCCTTCCCTGCTTCCCCCCATCCCCTTCCCTGCTTCCCCCCATCCCCTTCCCTGCTTCCCCCCATCCCCTTCCCTGCTCCCCCCCATCTCCATCCCTGCTTCCCCCCATACCCCTCCCTGCTTCCCCCCATCCCCCTCTCTGCTTCCCCCCATCCCCTTCCCTGCTTCCCCATGTCCCCTTCCCTGCTTTCCTCCATCCCCTTCCCTGCTCCCCCCCATCTCCATCCCTGCTTCCCCCCATACCCCTCCCTGCTTCCCCCCATCCCCCTCTCTGCTTCCCCCCATCCCCTTCCCTGCTTCCCCATGTCCCCTTCCCTGCTTCCCCCCATCCCCTTCCCTGCTCCCCCATGTCCCCTTCCCTGCTTCCCCCCATCCCCCTCCCTGCTTCCCCCCATCCCCTTCCGTGCTTTTCCCCCTCCCGTTTCCATCGCTTTCCCCCTCCCGTCGACCTCGCTTTCCCCCTGCTCACCCCCATTCCCCCTGCTCACTCTCTTCCCCCTTTCTCACTCTGCCCCCCCTTCCTCACTCTGTTCCACCCTGCTCACTCTCTCCTCCTCACTCTAATCCCCCCTGTTCTGTTCCCCCCTGCTCTATTCCCCCCCGCTCTATTCCCCCCTGCTCTATTCCCCCCTGCTCTATTCCCCCCTGCTCTATTCCCCCCCTGCTCTATTCCCCCCTGCTATATTCCCCCCTGCTCTATTCCCCCCTGCTCTGTTCCCCCCTGCTCAATACCCCACTGCTCTATTCCCCCCTGCTCTATTCCCCCCTGCTCAATACCCCCCTGCTCTATTCCCCCCTCCTCTGTTCCCCCCTGCTCTATTCCCCCCTGCTCTGTTCCCCCCTGCTCTATCCCCCCCTCCTCTATTCCCCCCTGCTCTATTCCCCCCTGCTCTATTTCCCCCTGCTCAATACCCCCCTGCTCTATTCCCCCTTGCTCTATTCCCCCCTGCTCTATTCCCCCCTGCACTATTCCCCCCTGCTCAATACCCCCCTGCTCTGTTCCCCCCTGCTATATTCCCCCCTGCTCTATTCCCCCCTGCTCTGTTCCCCCCTGCTCAATACCCCCCTGCTCTATTCCCCCCTCCTCTATTCCCCCCTGCTCTATTCCCCCCTGCTCTATTCCCCCCTCCTCTATTCCCCCCTGCTCTGTTCCCCCCTGCTCTATTCCCCCCTCCTCTATTCCCCCCTGCTCTATTCCCCCCTGCTCTATTCCCCCCTGCTCTGTTCCCCCCTGCTCTATTCCCCCCTCCTCTATTCCCCCCTGCTCTATTCCCCCCTGCTCTCTCCCCCCTTGCTCTCTCTCTTCTCACCTCCTCACTCCGTTTCCCCCTTGCTCACTCGGTTTTCCCATTGCTCATTCTCTTTCCCATTGCTCATTCTCTTCCCCGCTGCTCATTCTCTTTCCCCTTGCTCATTCTGTTTCCCCCTGCTCATTCTGTTCCCCCCCTGTTCACTCCCTTCCCCCATGCCCACCCTCTTTCCCCCTGCTCACTCCCTTTCCCCCCTTCTCACTCTCTCCCCCCCTCCTCACTCTCTTTCCCCCCTGCTCAATGTCTCCCCTGCACTCTGTTTTTTCCTGCTCATTCTGTACAGGTCCCCAGCACCAGGTGTAGGGAGGGACCCACAAGTCCTGCTTTTTTGCTGCTGTGTATGCAGACAAGAGTGGGAAAAGACATATTATTGAGTAACTTGGTTCTTTTTTTACTAGATTGTTGCACTTCGTAGGTGGTCAATGGTCACTCCATCCTCTCCTCATCCCTCCCCATCCGTCCTTTCCCCATCCGATCCTCTCACCCTCCCCTCCAGGTGTTTCCCACACCGCCCTCGGCCCAGCGGCACCTCTTCATCCCTTGTGCTTTTCTGCACCAGGGAGCTGCTTGGGGCGCTGTGGGTGGATGGCGGTGGGCAGAGTCACACAGCATAGGCAGACGTGGTGCTGCCTGTCCTCCCTTTCCCCCGTCCTCCCTCCCCATCCATCCTTCCCTTTCTCTGTCCCTCTTTTCCCCTTGTCGTCCTTCTGTTTGTCTCCTACCGTTCCAGGAGTGTCTTTTTATTTCTTCCTCTTCGTGTTGCTTCCTTGTCAGTTGTCATTCTTTTGTATGCTTACCGGCTGGAATGTTGGTTGTTTGATAGTACCCCTAGGTATGATACATGGCTGTGGGAATGTTGTATGCTTATTATTATAACTAAATTTTGATACATAGGGAAGTGGTGAGGTGGGATGGGCGGATGGGGAGAGGACGGGAGGGGGTGGGGAGAAGAGGGGATGGTGAGAGGAGGGGATGGGGAGAGGAGGGGACGCGGTGACGAGGGAAGGGGAAAGAAGCGGATGTGTATAGGAGGAGATGGAGTGAGGAGGAGATGGGGTTAGGAGTATGGTGAATGGGGTATGGTGGAATGGTGAAAGTAGGCATGGGGAATGGAAGGATGGGGAACGGAGGGAGAGTGAATGACGGGATGGGGAAAGGAGGTCTGGGGAAACGAGGAAAGGGGGATGGGAAGTAGGATGGCAGGGCGAGAGGAAGGGATTGAGAGAAGGGGGGAGGAAGGGCGGAAGAGGGGGATGGGAAGTAGGAAGAGGTGGGAAATGGCGACGTGTGACGATGCCACGGGGTGCGGCGGAGATGGGGTGAGGCATGGGGAGATGAGGGATGGATGGATGAGCGATGGAGAGGTGAGGCATGGGGAGATGAGGGATGGGGAGGTGAGAGATGGGGAGGTGAGGGATGGGGAGATGAGGGATGGGGAGATGAGGGATGGGGAGACGAGGGAAGGGGAGATGAGGGATGGGGAGACGAGGGAAGGGGAGATGAGGGATGGGGAGACGAGAGTGTGGGGTGTGGCGTAGCAGGAGGAAGGAGAGTTGCAAGGCGCGGGGAGTCCCCATTCTCGTTAGAGGGGAGGGAGCGTGGGCGACGGGAGGGAGGGAGCGGTAGTAGTGACGGATGGGTGTGCGCGTACATGACGTAAGGGGAGTGAGCATGAGCGATGGGAGGGGAGTGAGCGTGGGCGACGGGAGGGGAGTGAGCGTGGGCGACGGAAGAGAGTGAGGAGGGGCGAAAGAGGCGTCGCGCAAAGGCGACGGGAGGGGAGGGAGCGTGATCGTGCGTCAGGAAGGAAGCGTGGGCGACGGGAGGGAGTGATCATCCTCTTTGGAGGGGAGTGCGCGAAGGCGACGGGAGGGGAGTGCGCGAAGGCGATGGGAGGGGAGTGCGCGAAGGCGACGGGACGGGTGTGCGCGAAGGCGACGGGAGGGAAGTGCGCGAAGGCGACGGGAGGGGAGTGCGCGAGGGCGATGAGAGGGAGTGAGCTATGGCGATGGAGGGAAGTGTGAGACATTGACGCGAGAATGGTCGCGTGGGCGACGGAGGGGAGTGAACATAGGCGACGGCGACGAGTAGAGTGCATTTTCAAACCAATCTGCACACATGGCTTCGCTTTCTAACCCCCTCCAAGCACCAAACTCGTGGTGCAGTGCAGTTGGGTGACGAATGCTGAAGCTCGTCGCTGCCTGGTTTCGCTTTCGCACCTGTTCAGCTCTCGAAATGTTTTTTTTATGCCTTTCGCGAACACACTTAAAGCCCCCGCGTCACTATTGCAAAAACCATGCTGACCTCGGGCTTTAAAGGGAAGGGGACATGCGACGACAACATTACTGTTGCTGATTTTGAACACCTGATGCTCGATTGAGCTCCCTGTACTTGCCTTCCTTTTCATTTCGCAAAGGTTACGTCCATTCGCAGCTAGAAAAAATGGGCTTATGAATAAATTGTAACTTCCCGTTGACAGTTTGACTTCAGTCTCTTCGTTACCATTGGTTCATAATCACTGCAACTCGGGGAGCTTGTAAAGTGGGTGCAACTTCCCGGCCCCAAAAACCCCAAAAACACGTGAGTAGGGAATCTACAATGGGCAGGAGAAATTTTGCGCGCAGCAGTTGAGCATCATGTGAATCAAACAGAAGCCACAGCACAAAACAGAAATTTTGTGACAACGGTGCTGTAGGGCTGAGGTGGCAGGATGGCTTCCAGTCCATATGGACGAACCCGAGGACTTTCACGAAACCACCGTAGCCTCGTGGGGAGGGCAACCACCCTGACCTCTGGCGCCAGCCCCTACCACGTGTCGACTAGAGATTTGTCCTGGACATCTCTGCTCCAGTAGCAGTAGGATAACGTGTTCACACGTGCTCCCTACGGGGAGCTGGGCTCTGCTTGTTTCCTACTCTAGTTGCATGTTTGTAAAAGGTCACGACCTAATAAAAACCTTTAAACTTTTAAACCTCGTGGGGAGGGCTAGGTTCCTGCCTGGCTTGAGCCCTTCAGACACAGTTACGACTGTTGTGTTTTGCTTGTACTCTCTTGTGTATAAGCTTTCACTCTAAAAAAAAAAAAAAAAAAACAACAAAAAAAACAAAAAAAAAAAATTATCGGCATAGTAACATCGTATAACGGTGGTCGGGGGCAGCAGGTTGCTCACTGATTCCTTCCTGAACGTCCAATATATTGTCACATAACGATTATTTTGCATGGACTAGTTGACAGACTAATGCTTCAACAAAAGGTTCCAATAACAAAAGAAATACTAGTATAGAAAATTTAGCGCATCTAGTGAACAAAGTATCTGAACTGACACTTTCTACCAAACCTCTTGTGCAAATTGTGCTTATTCTAAAGCATGCGAACGAACGTCTGGTGCTCGGGGTGGCGGTAGTTGCGATTGTACCAGTACCATCCACCGTATCCGAGCACTCCCACAGCTACGATAATGACGAGCACAAGAGCAACAATGGCTCCCGTGCTAGGCCCGCCGCCACCACCAGAGGGTGCAGGCGCCTTGGTAGTGGTGGTATTATAATCCTGCAAAAACACACGGGGTAAGGTAAGGAAGAATACTAGATTTCATAAGGTGCCTCAAGATTCGAGAACCATCACAACGGTTCATATCACAAAAGGGTAGTAATCGTAGCCACTAGGGTGGTTGCAGGCCATGCAGCCATCTGCTTCTAGCCCACACAGGCCTCTCACTGCACAACCCCATGCGTCTGCCTTTCCCTCTCTCCCTCTTCTCACCTTCTCCTTGGCGCCGGGCAGGTCGTCAAAAGTATCTGAAACCTCCTGCGGCTTGTCAATGCCGCCCGGGATGACGGCAGGCTGGGCGGCCATCTGCTTCATGAGATCGACCTTCCAAGTGGGCGGCAGTGGGCCCGGGCGCTCAATGTAGTCCAGGTTGGGGTTGATGTCGTAGCTGCCAAGCACCCACTTGCTCTTCTCCTGTGGTGGGTAAGGATAGAGAGTACACAGACAGACAAAAGCACAGGAGGAAGAGAAGAAAGAGGGAAATAGGTCAGGGACAGAGAGTGGGGGGCTCAGTGCAGTCCAGGTTTAGGGTTGATGTCGTAGCTGCCAAGCACCCACTTGCTCTTCTCCTGTGAATCGTGACGGAGGGAGCGGCGGCGCGACAGAGTGTGGTAGGGGGGATAATGTGGGGTTGACGTGGGCCTAATGTGGGTTCAATGACGTAACTGCCCAGCACCCACTTGACTGCAATGAAAATTGTCGAACCCGTATTGCAGCAGCAGAGACTTTTGTAATCCCTCCTCCATCTCTGTCGGCCTAACTGACCTTCCACGTGACGTCAATGAGGTCGTATTGGGGCGCCGAGGCCTCATTCTGCCCACTCTCGTTCTCAAAAACGTTTCATGCCTCAGGCTCTGCACGACTGACCTTCCAGGTGACGTCAATGAGGTTGTAGAACCCGTACTGGGGCGCCGAGGCCTCACTCTGCACTCTCTACTTCTTGAAAGCGTTTCTTACCTCAGCCTCTGCACGACTGACCTTCCAGGTGACGTCAATCAGGTTGTAGGACCCGTATTGGGGCGCCGAGGCCTCCGTCTGCCTCTCCTTGTGCCTCCCCTGTGCTTCAGCCTACCATCCCTTGTGCTCTAAAACGTCTCACAACTCAGATTCAGCACAACTGACCTTCCAGGTGACGTCAATGAGGTTGTAGAACCCGTATTGGGGCGCAGAGGCCTCCGTCTGCCTCTCCCCGGTGGTGCTGTTGAAGGCGACGGTGCCAGAGGCGCCGTTGAACGCGATACACTGGGAGGGGGTGCCTCGGAAGCAGTCCAGCAGCAGCGGCGCTGTCACCTCCTTGCCTGGCGAGGGCGAGACAGGCAGGGGGCGGAGCGTGGGATACCGGGAGAGGGAATAGGGAGGAGATAGCATGGAGAGTAGGATGAACAGATGCAAGCTGGGAGGGGATGCCTCCGAAGCAGTCCAGCAGCAGTGTCGCCGTCACCTCCTTGCCTGGCGACACAAGGGGGACTAGAGGAAAACATGCAGGGAACAAAGCAGTTGTGGCTCAAGACATGAAGCAACAGCGGCCACACAAGGCAATGAATCAACCAAGGGAAAAGAAAAGCAAGAAGGAAGGACCATGTACCTTGGTCGACGACAATGGACTTCAAAGCTTCAAAGAACGCCCAAATGGAGTCGATGAGGTTGGTGACATAGGCACGGGCTTCGGTGAACTGCACGAGTCAAGGTGGGAGGGGAGGGATTCAAGGCAGCAGATACAGGGAGGGAGCCGTCAGATGCAAGAGACAGTGGGGAGAGGAATGTCCAGAATGTCCAGATGGAGTCAGTCAGGTTGGTGACGTAGGCTCGGGCTTCGGTGAACTGAGAACGGCAGGGGAGGGAGGCAGAGCAGCCGATGCAAGGAATTGAGATGCAAGGGACTGTGGAGTGATTTCCCAAATGCAACAACAGCGCTTGCATACCCGGGGGGAGGCGTCGAGCGTGAGCAGGCCAGGGTACTCCTCGTGCGTCTTGGTGCCACCAAGCTGCCGGCTTTCAGTCACTGACAGCACGCACATACCCTTGGGGAAGCGTCAAGCTTGACAGCTAGCTATCACAACAACACGTGCATACCCGGGGGGAGGCGTCGAGCGTGAGCAGGCCAGGGTACTCCTCGTGCGTCTTGGTGGCCCAAAAGTCCTTGAACTGGTTGAAGGGGGACGTGCGCGGGTGGTAATTGCCCTCTGCACGTTTTAAGTTGGGGAGGATCAAGGGGAGATAGGGGGAGGGAAGGGAGAGATGCAGGGACAGGGAGAGGGGGACGGGGAGGGAGAAGAAGAGCGAGAACAGGAGAATGAGAACGAGAGCAGGCCAGGGTACTCCTCGTGCGTCTTGGTGGCCCAAAAGTCCTTGGACTGGTTGAAGGGCGACGTGCGCGGGTGGTAGTTGCCCTCTGCGCGTTTAAGTTGGGGGGGTTCGAGAAGAAGAAAGCAAGGGCGGTAGGGGTGGAAGAAGGGGGCGGGGGAAGGGGATAAGAAGAGGAGTTGAAGATGTGGGCGGCTGTTTTCTGAGACTTGTGACGTGGAAGGGGAGAGCAGCAGCGCATAATTGAGGCGTTCAATTTAATGGGGGTGGCAAATACACAGCGGTCAAAATCGTAAGGGCAACAGTTGAGCACAGACGAGAGGTAAGTGCTGTATGCAAGCCCAATTGACTTACTGTAAGGCCCGACGCCAATCTCTCCCTGGAGCGCGTGTGTGAGGTTGGATAGGTCCTTGCCTGCACGGCACCAAGGCAGAGCGAGATAAAAGGCATGAGTGTGTGAAATAACGATAAGAAAAAAAAACAAGTCCAAATTTCTCTCACTGCCTTCGCAAACTGGCCATTCTCGTAACAATACAAGCGTACCTTCTCCAACGAGGTCAAATGCAACGGCGCCATCAGCTCCCAGGTACCAGTACGGGAACTTGGTCTGGCCCTGCAGTGCATTCAAAGAACAAGGAGCAAGAAGAGGGAGAGAGGGGAGAAGCAATTGAGAGATGAGCGGACGTTGGGCAGCGTTAGATAAGCAGACTCACCAGATACGGCCAAACCGATTCCCTAGATCCGGCAAATCCGACTCACCAGGCGGAACGCCGTCTCCCACAGGGCCTCGGCGACGTTGGGCAGCGTGGCAACCACCACAGAGCAACTAGCGCTTTTCACTCTCTCTCTGACTCCTTTGTCTGAAACTCACCAGCCGGAACGCCGTCTCCCACATAGCCTCCGCGACGTTGGACAGCGTGGCGAAGACGCAGACGGTCGCATTGCTGGGCTTCATGTTGGACTGGTCGAGGGCCGTGGAGCAGCGTGGCCTAAACCACTGAAAAGCAAACTCTTTTCCTCCCCCTCCCTTTCACTCCCTCTCTCTCTCTCCCATCTCCACCCGTTTTCTCACTACCTATCTTTCCCTCTCTCCAACTCACCAGCCGGAACGCCGTCTCCCACAGGGCCTCGGCGACGTTGGGCAGCGTGGCGAAGACGCACACCGACGCGTTACTAGGTTTCATGTTGGCGAAGTACTGGTCGAGGGCCGTGGGGTCGACGGGGTACGGCACCTTGATCGGCTGC